AGTCGTCAGGTCCCCTGGAACTGGAGTTACAGTTCGTAGCCACCATGTGGGCGCTGGGAATTGAACCCTGCTCCTCTGCAGGAGTAGTCAGTGCTCTTAAACTGAGCCATCTCCCCAGCCCCAGCATTTGTTCTTAATTTTTTACATTTTATATATATTATTTGTGTACATGTGTGCATGCTGTGGTGCAGCAGTGGAAGTCACAGGACATTTATGGAAGTCGGTGCTCTCTTTCCACCATGTGATAAACTCAGATTATCAGGCTTGGTGGTAGGCGCCTTTCCCATTGGCCTTGTTACTTTTATAATTAAAAAAACAAGACAATAAATCTAAAAGTGCCATATTCATTTGGGGGTTGAAAGCCACTGGGCAGGAGTCCCTCAATTTCCTGGCCCCTCCCCACCCAACTACCTCACCAGAGGCTTTAATAAGATATGCACCTGTCTTAAGGGTGAAAACAGATGGATAGGGCCTGAGCTGCAGCCTGTCCAGAGGACCTGTTCTCTCCATCTACGCCTTCCTGCTTATCCCCCACCCCCCTTATCAGTATTCACCACACTCTTATCTCACCTGAGTTCTGCAAACTAAGCAGTACTTGCTTTGTGCTCAGTACTTCATGCTGTTTGTCATCCTGTGATTACTTGGTAGGACTTACTGATAGTTTCTAGTGAATATTTGTATATTCAGTTGTTGACGTAGTTAATATACACTGAATATTTTCTGGGTACTGAAAAGCAAGGTTGTAAGGATGAGTAATTCATGGCTTCTGTTCCCAGGGAGCTATAGAAAAGTAAAAACACCCCAAACATATAGGGATCAGGTATATACAACACATCAGTAGGTACTGTAGCTATTAATTGGGAATTTTTAGTGCTGATGTTTACAGTGGCTTTATTCATCACTTCCTCCAACTGGAAACAACCTCAATATCCATTAACTGGTAAATGGGTCAGTAAACTAAGGTACACCCTTACAATGGGCCATTTCCCTGCAGTGAAAGGGGATGGACAAGTGAATTAGACATGTATTGTGCTGGTTGAACAAAGCAGACCCAGAAAGGTACTGCTGTGCTTGGGCTGGGGGGGGGGGGGCTCATTTGTATGACAGATGGAAAAAGCAAAAATAGAGGTATAGAAAACAGAGTGGTGGCCAAGAGCCAGGTGCTGTGACAAAGGGGCATGTGGGAATCTGGAGGGCAATACACTGTTCTGTATCTTTATTGACATCACAGTTATTTAACTATATCCATCTGTCAAAACTATACCTCATGTTTTAAGATTTATTAATATATATGTGTGTCTGTGCACACATGGGTATGGGTGCCTGCAAGAGGTCAGAAGAGGGTGTCAAATCCTCTCTGGAGCTGAAGTTACAGGCAGTTGTGAGCTGCCTGAAGTGGGTACTGGGAACTGAATTCCAATCCTCTGCAAGAGCAGCAAGCATTCTTAACCACTGAGCCATCTCTCCAGTCCCCATAAATTTTTTGAGACAGTCTTATATAGCCCAGGATGGCCCTGAATTTCTGTCTCTGCCTCCCAAATTCTGAGATTACAAGAGTGAGCTACATGCTAAGTTTTTAGAACTATACCTTACAAAATGTAAGTAAAATTTACCCTTTTAAAGCTATTACCACAGTAGACCAAAAAAGGTTTTGAATGTGTGCTATATTCACATGGTTCAGAACTCTAAACAATAAGAGTCTTATTCCTGCGCTGGCCCCCTACGCATCTTCTATATAACTTGACATTTCTTTATACAAATATGGCAGTTGTCCTTTATCCATGGTTTCACTTTTGTGCCTTGTCGCCTGTGGTCTGCTGTGGTATGAAGACATTAGGTGGCAAGCTCTAGATGGACAACTCATAAGCAACATGATGAAATCTTGTCCTGTCCCACCAGGAAACTGAGTCATCCCCTTGACTGGTGTGTCCTTAGTGCCTACTGTTCACCATGAGTCACTCACTGCCTTGGTGATCAAGCCATCTGTCATGTTTGTTACCTGTGTGTGACTGCAGTCTGGTGTTCCAGTGACCCTTGTTTTACTAATAATGGACTCAAAGTGCATGGGTAGGATGCTACCAATCCAGATAAGCCAAAGAAGGCCACAAAGTCCTTCATTTAAGTGAAGAGGTAACAGTACCATGAAATCTTTTGAGATTTAGAGAGACACGTTTACATAATTTTCATGTGCATGTATTATAACTGTTTCATTAGTTCATCTCTTATTGTGCTTAGTCTATAAATTTATCATAGGTAGTATACGTACAGCCTGCCCCTGACTTACAATGGTTTATCATAAAAATTTTCAACTTTACATTGGGTTTATTGGGCTATTAAATGCACTTTCCACTTCTGATGGGTTTAATGGGATGCAAGTCAAGGAGCACGTGCACAGCAAAGAGCACTGTACAGACAGGCTTCAGAGTCCACAGTTCCAGCCATCCTTTAAGAGACTTGGAACATGTCCCTGGTGATAAGGGGTATGTGGTGAAGGGTAGGTGAGCTGTGTAACTATAGAACAGACCCCAAGTGGGCAGGTTTAGAGTTTGTTCCCTAAGGATTTTTCCACTGGCATTTTTAGAGCTGGGTGTGATGGCGTTCACCTTTAGTCCCAGCACTCGGGAGGCAGAGGCAGGCAGATCTCTGTGAGTTTGAGGCCAGCTGGGGCTACAGGGAGACCCTGTCTCAAAATGACCCCCCCCCCCAAAAAAAAGCTTGCTTTGAAGTTAATATAATGATATGGTAAGGAGGGAAACATTAAATGCTTTACCTTCAAGAGTCCAGTTTCCCTTTCCTGGGGCCTCTTGCTCTGTTTTTAGACACTTTCTGTTCTCTGGTCTGTTGTTATTATTTGATAGAGTCATCTTTCTCTTAGAAAGCAGTCTTGGGCTGGAGAGATGGCTCAGCGTTTAAGAGCACTGGCTGTTCTTGCTGAGAACCCAGGTTCAATTCCCAGCAGCTACATAGTGGCTAACAACCATCTGTAACTCCAGTTCCAGGGGAATTTGACATCCTCTTCTGACCTCTGCAGGCATTGTACAGCATGGGAACACTTACATACATGCAGGCAATGTACTCATACACTAAAAATAAAATATAAAAAAAAATTTTTTTTAAAGAAAGCAATCTGGTGTTTTGGCTCTTTGGGTTTGATCTTAATATTGTGGATTTTATATATACACAAGATTAAGAGGGAATTAGGTTTTTGACTTTTAAATACCATTCTTGGAACAAGACTATTTGTTGATGATTCTATTCTTAAAGTATTGTTCTAAAGTGAAGACTTGTTGTCTACATAAGTAGACTAGGGATTACTTAATGGTCTGTTTTATATGATTAAAAATCCCTGTGGTTGGGCATGGTAGTTCATGCTTATAATTCTAGCTGTCAGGAGAGCAAGGCAGGAGGATATTTGCTTTTTTCTTTTTGTGATGATCTACTTTTTAAAAAAATTATTTCTCCATCATTCATACTGCCAATAGTAACACTGTGTCACGTAAGAATGGTTCCCACACAGCCTTTTGTAAAGAGGGCTGAGCCAATTTTGTTCCATTCTGAAGAATGACAGCTCTTAGAGCTTATTTCCTTGTGATAGGACATTGTTTAGTCACTGACTACTTGATGCATGTCAGACCCAAAGAATGTGTTTTAAAGTTAAGCAAAGACTCTGCATGGGATACATTTAATTAGCATTAACTGTACCCTTAGCCGGGTGGGAAACTTTTCTTAAGTGTGGTGTTGGGTGATCAGAGCCTCGGGTGTGCTAGGCAAGCACTCTGTCACTTAGTTACAGCCCTAGCCTGGAAACGTTTAAATATAAAAACAGTGATTCTTGCCTACTTGAATATTCTCTCATATACCCCTATACATACTAACAAAGCAGTTCACTGAAAGTGCCTTTCAATGTTTTGTTCCCAAGATAACCAGATGGCATTATGTAAAGCAAAAAGTGTTCTAGAAAATTCTTCCCTTATAGAATGGATAATTACTTAATCATTGAACAGCAAAGTTTTTAAAGCTTCCTTTTTATTTCTGTGTGTGAGTCTGTGTGCGGGTATGTGCACGTGAATGCAAGTACCACAGAGGACAGAGAGGGTGTTGGCTTCCCTTGAGCTGGAGTCACCCAGTGTGCATGTTGGGATCCAAATACGGAGATCCAAATTCCGGTTCTCTGGAAGAGCTGTACATGCTCTTAACCACTGAGCCACCTCTCCAGCCCCAAGAACAAAGTTTTTAAATATTTAAAAACAGTATTTTAATTTAATATGGCATATTAGAAAGGTGAAATCTACCATATTTACAAAGTACATGATGGTTTTATTTGCTAGTTATTGAAGTAGTATATTTTCATTAATTGCTTTGCTTTTTGGAAACTGTATTTTAAAATAAAGATTTACCCAAAGTTTTCTATAACAAATACTTGGATATCTTTGTTACATCAAAAAACATAAGTATTTTGGGGGAGGAAAATGTCATAATTTATAATTAGTTTATCTCATCCTCCAGAAATGAGCTCCTTCATGGATAACCTAGTATTCTAACTGCATTTTATAAAAAAGAACTTTATAGTTTTGTTACTCCCAAATAATAATCATTTAACTTACATTGTTAGAAGTTCTTAAATTTGGGGGGCTGGAGAGATGGCTCAGCAGTTAGGAGCACCGGCTGCTCTTGCAGAGGACCTGGGTTCAATTTCCAGCACCCACATGGCAGCTAACAACTGTCCATGGTAACTCTAGTTCCAGGGGATCTGATGCTCTCTTCTGACCTCCAAGGGCATTGCACTTACACACGTGCAGGCAATACACTCATACACATAAAATAAAAATAAATATTTAAACAAAGAGATTCTTAATTTTTAACAGTGTTTTATGACTGTGGGTAGCTCAGTAGTGGGACAATTGCCTAACATGCATGAGTCTCACCATTTATCACCAGCACTGAGAAAAAATGGTTTTCCTTCACTATCTTACGTGACCTCCTCTTCTCTCCTGACACAGCAAATGAAGAAGCACCCCTGCCGCCAGTGTGACAAGTCTTTCAGCTCCTCCCACAGCCTGTGCCGCCACAACCGGATCAAGCACAAAGGCATCAGGAAAGTTTACACCTGCTCGTAAGTCTCAAATTTCTGATATGGAAGCACAGAGAAAAAACTGGGGGCATGGGTGGATAGATTTCACATTTTGCCATTCATTTTTTAAAAATTACTTTTTATCTATAGGAGTGTTTTGCCTGCATGTATGTAGGTACACCATATGGATATAATGCATATGGAGGCCAGAAGAGGGTGTTGAAGCCCCTGGAACTAGAGTCACAGAGGTTGTTTCTAGGCTGTGTATCTTACCTGTATTCTTCAGCACACAGTTGTTTTCCCATTGTCATTTGCCAAGTATGAGCATAGCACTTACCTGCACACTCATGTGCATTCTATTTGGTTATTTGAGGTCATGTGTTTTTATTACTATGTGTGAGGAAGGGGTTAGTTTGCAGGTGCACAGAGGTTGAGACACCCCTAACACAGTGATTGGACATACTGCCATGTAGATTTGGTTTACTTGGGTTCAAAAGAAGGCTGTGAGGGGGCCCATTTATAGACTTACTTCTAGTCCTGGCACTTTTTGGCTACAGTCTGCCACCTAAGTCAGAGAAGCTTCTCCTGTTGGCTGAGATCAAACAAATAGTTTTATGACTGGGGGACCAACATAAAGTCATTCATCAGTGGCTGTTCATAAACTGCTTCTTTGTATGAGACAACTAGGCTGTGTTTTAATATTAGTGGAAAATCTGTATCACCCACTCAACCTAAACATGCCTAAAGTGAGACCACAGAACCCATGTGGAAGGCACTCAATCACTGTCAGAGCCAGGCACCATGGACCCTGTTGGTGAGCCACAAACGTGGCTCATTTACTGCTGGCAAAAAACTTTTATGTGGGAGCTGGTAAGATGGTTCAGTGAATAAAGGTGCTTGCCCAGTAAGCCTGACAACTGAGCGCAATCCTCTGAATCCATTTAAAGGTGGAAGGAGAGAACCAATTCCACAGAGTTGTCCTCTGACCTCTACATGCATGGCATAATAACAAAGGAAAAAACCCTTTATGCTTGAAAGCATTTGCTCTGTAGGGCTGCGTCTCACTGCTGCCCCACAGACAATCTCTTAAAATGAAGTCACCAGAGCCAGGTGTGGTAGTGCACACCTTTAATCCCAGCACTTGGGAGGTAGAAGCAGGTGAATAAGGCAGGCCAGCCTGGTCTACATAGTGAGTTCCAGGCCAGCTGGGGCTATAGGGAGACCCTATCTCAAAAAGACCAAAAAACTTAAAAAAAAAAAAAGGTCAAGTCTCCAGCATTTGGGGACAGTCAAAAAAAAAAAATTCTCAGAACCCTTATGAAGGTAACAAATGTGGGTCTGAGGAACTGAGGTGTTTTCATCCAAATGCAGTAGGTTTTATGTCTTGGTTTTTTGGCATTTTAAGATAGAGTCTCACTCTATAGCCCAGACTGGTCTCAAACTGGTGACCCTTCTCCCTCAGCCTCCTACTTACTAGAATTACAGGTGTGTACACACCTGGCTACTGCAGAGGTGTTCTTGATGTCTGACATAGAGCACCTGTAATCACCACGGTCATTAACTTGATTAAATTTGTTTGGGGGCTGTTTTCTTAAGAAAACAGTAAATTAAAATATTTCCAAGAAATCATCTTCAAAATTACAAAATTTAAGTAATTGACCTGTCTTGGATAGCCTGTTTCATGCATTTTAATCTACTTAATGAATGAACATTTTCAGGTGTCATGATTATAAATGTATGTTACATTTGTGTTTTGATAAATCTAGGCTAGACATTCTGTCTTTCATCCAGAGGGGACAGGGAGAGTTAACCAGAACCTAATGGGGGGCCAGGAGGGGCTCTCTTCAATCCAAAGCATCTGTCATGATGTAAATTCCGAGAGGGTGTTCCAAGTCATTGAAATTTTAATATTCTCCTTTTTTTTTTTTTTTTTTTTTTTTTTAAAGATTGAGGGCATCTAGAATTACAAATAAATCATGATCTAACCAAAAGCAGAAAAACAAATATTCTGCCTGAACCAAATTAGCCTATTCCTATGAGGACACAAAAATCAAGTGGACCAGAGGAATGGCTCAGTGGTTAAGAGTCTTTGCTACTCTTCCAGAGGATCTGAGTTCTGTTCACAGCATCTACATGGTAGCTAACAACCATCTGTAACTCCAGTTCTAGAGGATCTGATGCCCTCTTCTGACCTCCTCAGGTACTGCCCAACATGGGTACACTTACATACATGTAGCCAATACACTCATACACATAAAATAAAAATAACAAAATATTTTTTAAATCATGCCAGGCGTGGTGGTACATGTCTTTAATCCCAGCACTTGGGAGGCAGAAGCAGGTGGATCTCTGTGAATTCAAGGCCAGCCTGGTCTACATAGTGAGTTCCAGGCTGGCTGGGGCTACAGGGAGACCGTGTCTCAAAAAGACCAAAAAATAAATAAAATTTAAAAAAAATTTTTTTATAAGTATGCATATCCTTTTTTTTATTATTTTTATTTTATGTGTATGAATATATTGCCTGCATGTATGTGAGTGCACCCATGTCGTGCAATGCTGTGGAAGTCTGAAGAGGGCTTCAGATTCCCCTGGAACTGGAGTTAAGGACAGTTCATAGCTGCCATGTGGGTGCTGGGAATCGAACCTGTGTCCTCTGCAAGAGCAGTCAGTGCTCTTAACCACTGAGCCATCCCTCCAGCCCCTTAAAAATATTTTTTAAAAGCTGTTGTTTTATTTTATTTTACATTTATTGTGTGTATGTGTAAGTCCATGTACAAGTGTATGTGTGTAAATGTCAGAGGACTAGTCAGCTCTCTTGTACCATCTGGGTCACGGGGATTGAACTCAGGTCCTCAGACTTGGTTGCAAGTATCTTTTCTTGCTAAGCCATCTTGTAGGCCCTCAACAGAGCTTTTATAGAAGGCTAGGGGTAGGTGCTTTTCACAAGAGGGACGTGAGAACCATAGCAAACTGCTGATTTTATTTGGAGCCCCCAGCATTAGTTCAGTTTTTCTGAGCTGTGAGCATGTGCTGTTGGCCAGATCCCTCAGCAGCCATGGTTCCCCTCCCTGTTTTATGCTCCCAGGCACTGCCCAGACTCCCGTAGGACCTTCACTAAGCGGCTAATGCTAGAGAAGCACATACAGCTGATGCACGGGATCAAGGATCCTGACTTGAAAGAAATGACGGAAGCCACCAATGAGGAGGAGGAGGAAGAGGAGGAGGAGGAAGAGGAAGAAGAAACCGAAATAAAGGAAGATGCCAAGGTCAAACATTGAAACTCTGTTCTTTCTCCATAACCTGTGCTCACTTGCTTCCCCTTCTTTCTCATCTATATTTTAAATAGTCACAGTTTTAAACATTCAGAGGAATACAGCAACCTTCTATAGAGCACCCATCCTGATTTTCCAGCTGCTCCGGAAAAGTAACCTTTTCTAATTTTTTTTTTTTTCTGTATCCTTCCAAAACAGCCCAGGAGATCTCATAACTTACCACATTATTGGTTGACTTAGGGAAGTTGTCACCTCCCAAAGGAATGTGTTGAGGTTAGATTCTTTTTCTTTGGCTATATCAGCAGTGACAGGTATCTAAACTGATCTTTTAATTCTCTTCATAATGGTAAAAGGTAAACTCACACATTTGTGCCTCATTCCTGAGTAGTAACTGACCTAGACCTCAGTCAGCCAACGATGTGCACATCCAGGAGCCATGCACCAAGCAACCGTGTGTGCCACATGCTGTTAGAGTTCATGAAAGCACCATGCAGCAGCCAATACTGGCCTTGGTGTCGTGGCTAAAAACATTTGCCCAAGACATCCTTCAATAGTTAATGGTTAAGTATACACCTTATAAACTTAAGTCAAATTGCTATGGCATTAAGACAGTCCTTCCCCAAGAGAAGTTGAAGCCTGTGTAGAGGTAGCTGTAGGTGGAGGTGGTCAGAGAGATGTCCTAGGGTAGAGAGAACTGAGGGGTTTTGAAAGCTAGATGGAAGGAGAAAGGCAGATCCTGGAGGAGAAGAGGGGGATGGACAGCTGCCAGGGGGAGGAACAGATGCTAGGTCTGTTGGAATATGCAGTGGCTCCCCCACCTCCTCTCCCCTTAGCCTTCATCTGCTGTACTCTCTGACCACCCTGCCCCAGTCCACCCTGCTATCTCTGAGCACATAGGCCTGCTTCCACCTGGGCTTTGGCACTCAGCTTCTGATGTCTGGGACTACTCCGGTCACCGTGCCAGGCCCCTATCCACACCAGTCACCATGGCCTGCTATGACCATGCCATATCGCATCCCATGGCCAGTCCCAGCTGTTCTTCACACAGGCCTTTCCATGCCGTGGCTTTGTCTCTCTTGGTGTGACAGGCCCTAGATGCTGTAATCTGTATTAGTCTGCCCTGCTCCTCTGGAACCCAAGGTGCACCAGGCAGGGCTCCTTGTTCACTGTTGTGCCCTGTGATTTCTGGGAAAACAAAAACTCCCCCTATTTGTGGAGTGGCAGAGATATGGATCTACCCTTTTAAAACCCTCAAACCCCACTGAGCCTGGTATCTGCTTTCCTGGCCTGCATCATTCAACAAGCACAGAGCCCACCAGCTTCAGTTGTTTCATTTTTTTCTCTTGTTTTTGTCCCCCCTCAAAGGCTCCCAGTCCCAAGCGGAAGTTGGAAGAACCGGTTTTAGAGTTCAGGCCTCCCAGAGGAGCCATCACTCAGCCACTGAAGAAGCTGAAGATCAACGTCTTTAAGGTTCACAAGTGTGCCGTGTGCGGCTTCACAACCGAAAACCTGCTGCAGTTCCACGAACATATTCCTCAGCACAAGTCGGACGGCTCCTCCTACCAGTGCCGGGAGTGCGGCCTCTGCTACACATCCCACGTCTCCCTGTCCAGGCACCTCTTCATCGTGCACAAGCTAAAGGAACCTCAGCCTGTGTCCAAGCAGAACGGGGCTGGGGAAGACAGCCAGCAAGAGAATAAGCCCAGCCTGGAGGACGAGGCTGCTGAAGGCGCAGTGTCAGACAGGAAGTGCAAAGTATGCGCCAAGACTTTTGAAACGGAAGCTGCCTTAAACACTCACATGAGGACACATGGCATGGCCTTCATTAAATCCAAAAGAATGAGTTCAGCTGAAAAATAGCCACAGGTACTCCTTAGGGAAAAGCCGATCCACATTGGAATTAAAAACAAGACGTTTTTGTTACAAAGTTTGAAGTATAATAGAGTTAACAGTACTGTCTAGGCTGTTGCAATATATTCTTTCCACGTCCCTTCACCTCCCAGATGTGTCCCTCCCCATAACTATTAAGGCAGTATTTGAGTTTAAAAGAGTTTGTATATATTTAAATAACTTTTTATACTCTTTGTTACATGTTTGTATCAGTATTTGGTGGAAAATGTTTTTGAGGTTTTTTTGGGTTAGAATTTTTCTTTTTTGTACTGTTTCTTTAAACAGAGTTCTAGTAACAGGGGCAGTTCGTGAATTCAAACCAACCATTTTGTATGTTACGAATTTGAATGAGTTCAATAATTACGGGCTAACACAACGCCTTTTTTAGTGTTTTTAATTTTTAGAGCTCACCACATAAATTGTAGGTGATTGTGGGTTTCATAACACTAGCAACTTTTAAGTGTCTTAGCACCACACTCTGCATGCCTGCTCCTAGCGAGCAAGGGCTCTGGGGACAACTATACCCCGGTGAGGGCATGGCCTGAGCCATGCTCAATGGCATTTAAAGCAGCCTTGCAGGTCCCTTCATTCTCCAAAGTGGGTCAGACAGGCTAGGAATCCAGTAGGAAACGTGGACTTCCTGAATTCCATCTTGAAGAATGAAGAAGAATACAGGGGGAAATGGGCTTGTTGATTTTTCTGGGCAAGCTTGCAAGGCTGACTGAAAGAGCACAAGGAGAAGTGGCTAGGAAAGGGCTGGACTACTGTAAAAGTTACAAATATGTAGTTAGACCTATAGCTCTCTTGTCAGGTTTTGTCATGTAACTTATTAACTATTACAGAGATACAACTAAGAATATCAAGTATTTCTCTGGCTCTTGACAGGAAAAAAAAAAGTCATGGTTGACTCCACCCTTTGCTCTCTACACAGTTGGCGTTTCCTGTTTTGGGTGCTACTGCCAAATGTTCTGGTACTTAGAGTTGGGATGCACAACTTCACCCACCGACCTATCAATGCAGCAGCCCGCACTCTGCAATTGGCCATAGATGAAGCACTGAGCCACTGGGTTTCCTTCAGTCATTTCAGTAGCGTAGCTTGCTATCTGTGGCCCTGCCTCCCTGAAGCACTATGGAGGTGCTCTTCTTTCTGTTCCTTCTGTGTATAGTTCTCTGGGAAAGTTATATATATATATATATATTTTTTTTTTGGTTTTTGTTTCGTGTTTTCTGTTGCATTTTATATCTTGTATTTATCCCCAATATGTTTTATACTTTTTTGTTTTCCTAAGCAAAGAAATTCTTTTGTGTATATAGAGATACTTGCATGATAGACTGTAGTCAACATTCAGTTCCTCGAAAGGTCTTGCTGCTGTCAGGTGTATGCACTACATCCATCATAACTGTATTAAACACATTTCACATGTAAATAAACAAGGGACATTTGGCCCTTGTGCTTCTATAGAAGAGTTATTGGCAGTGGGTCTGATATCTTCCTAAAGTTTGGGAAGTGACTGATTGCTGGGACAGGCTACAGGATATTACAGAATTTTTTTCCACTCTAACGAATGGCTTATTCATTCTCGTCGGTGACCAGCTACTCTGCCACTTTCTGTTGACTACATCGGTACAATCCAAGGTGTGAAAATATTCTTCAACTTGAAATTCAATTGCTGTTACCTGTTATATCTGTATTGCTCCCAGTGTATTCATGGCACTTTCACATGTTCCTGCTTTTGAACCTTGCAATAAACCTGTGTGGTGGCCACGCAGGTCTGCACAGCCTAGTTTTACAGTTGAGGAAGCTGAGCTCAGAATCAGTTCTTTGCCCAAGCCCTCATAGCTGATAAGTGGCTTTGCGTATTAGAACTCAAATCTTTTGCTCTCAATCTAGTGCTCGCTCTTTGTGGTGATGTACATATTGACAAATATTCATTTATTCAATAAAATTATGTGCGAAATATGATACTGGAGCTTTTGTTTGGGCACTATGACTTTTATAAGATAACCTAGAAGTGTAAATACCTAGAATTATTCCATAATGTGGAATTAACATCTGCTTGGTTTAGAAGGGTACAAGAGGAGCTTTTTAAATGCCCAATTTTTTCCTGAAGGTTCAGATTAAACACCAATAAAGAGATGAGCTGAGTTTTAGATAAACATTCAAGACAGGTTTTTGTCTTTGATTGGGTGATTTTATTTTACCAATAATAGTAATAGCAATGTAAAAAAAAAGAAAGAAAGAAAGAAAGAAAGAAAATGGAAGCACAATGACACAAAAGTGAGAAAAGGAAAAAAATGTAGGCTTAGACCACACGACTACATTTCTGCAAATTCTCACCCAAAGAACAATGTACTCCCCACTGCTGCCAGGGCTCTGGGAAGATCTAACAGTGAAATCTTCACTTGCCAACTTTGGGCAGCTAGTATTAATATACTCATGCTGTGAGCCCCTTTAGAAAAGAGATGCCTACTTAGCAGGGGAAAGATGGAAAATGTGCCTGAAGAACTTAATATGACTTAGAAGAACTCTTCAGTTAATCCAAAAGATAGTCTGAAAATAGATGTGTGTGCCAGATGTGCTTGTACATACATACGTACATGTACACACACAAACACACACACAGCAACTCTCAGAAGCTGTAAAGGTTACAGACTGTAGCTCTTAATCTTAACATAGATCATTTAGTAAACCTTGGCTCCTCTCTAGGTATAATTCATTCTTTACATCAATGGCTCCTTCAGTCTTGTTTTCTTTGAAGCCCTCCCCTGACTATGAGCCTCACATCCTTACTGAAGGCAACTGTAAGCCACAGAGCTGTGACCACATGACCTTAGTTCTCTCCATTTTGCTACAAAGCAAAAATCTGTTGATGCACAAAGCATGAACAGGGATTTAAAGCCACCACGATGGAAAACCACCAAACCACAAAGGAAGACAGAAGAGGAACACATGAAGTAGAACTCCCAAACCAGAAAACAAATGACCAGCCAGCAATATTAAGTTCTTACCTATCACTCGCTGCTTTGTATTTAAATTGGTCATATTTTCCAATAAAGAAGCAGACTGTCTGAGTGGGTTTTTTGTTGTTGTTTTTTAAGCTCAACTATATGCTACCTATAGGAGAACTACCTGTCAGGATACACAGAGATGGGAAGTGACAGGTATTCATGCAGATGCAAAAGAAAAGAGCTCAGGGACAGGAAAACAAAATGGACTTAGCCAGAAATGGCAGTGACAAAGACATTCTATAATGAAAAAGTCAGTTCATTAGCAGACTTTACCACTTGTTAACATATGCCCTCAACATTGAGACATCTGAATATATAAAGAAAGGCTTACAGATTTGGAGGGAGACTATGATACAAAAATAGCAGGGGACTTTAATACCCCACCATCAACAAGGGTCATTTCCAGAAAAAGTAGTTAAGGCATCATTGGACCTCAATTATGATTTGAACAAAATAGATCTAAAAGACATGTGGTTGCCATGTGGGTGTTGGGAACCAAACCTGGGTCCTCTGCAAAAGCAGCCAGTGCTCTTAACTGCTGAGCCATCTGTTTTTTTTTTTTTTTTTTTTTTTTTGAGGTAGAGTCTCACTGTAAAGCCCTGGCTAGCCTGAAACTCAATATGTACACCAAGCTGGCATTGAATTCAGAGAGATCTACCTACCTCTGCCTCCCAAGTGCTGGGATTATGCCACTATACCTGGCAATCTAAAAGACATATAGTACATTCGATCCAGCACCAACAGAAAACAACACATCCTTTTCAACTACACAATGAGACACCCTCTAAGATAGATTCTTACTAGCTGAACAAATTTAAGAGGACTGAAAACATATCAAGTGTCTTTCCTGACCACAGTGGTATAAAGATAGTTATAGAAGTCTTGAAAACTTTACAAATAGAAATTTAAAAAGGAAATCAAGAAGTCTTGACACATGGGGCTAGAGAGATGGCTCAGTGGTTAAGATCCCTTCCTGCTCTTGCAGAGGACCTGAGTTTGGTTCCCAGCACCTACATTGGGTGACTCACAGCCACTACAACTCAGCCTCAGGGGATCCAGTATCTTCTTCTGACCTCTGAGGGTGCCTGCACTCATATCTACAATACCTATACTCAGACACACACATATACACACAATTTAAAAATGAAAAAACTTGTAAAATTAAACAAAATAAGAACAAAACCCCCTCAAACATTGAATGATGAAACTTTGATAACCCAGTTACATTTTTCTGGAAATCTGCTCACTTAACATTTGCTGCCTTCTTTGGAAGGGACGATTTGAGTGTGTTCCAACATTAAATCTCATTTCAATGAAGGTCCCTATAAGACACAGCACTGTAGGAAAGGTTTAACTTTAAGATAATTCAGGAAGGGAGTCTATACAAAACCAAGGGCTAGAACAAAGGATATTGAGGCACTCCAGAACTAGCCAAGTATAAATCCACCCTCAAGCCTCAGAAGCCTTAGCAGGCATGGGTGTGTGAGTCATGGAACAGGACCCCCCAGTAGCAGGACATTGCGAGGGCAGGGCGTGGCCACTGTCACAAGCATGGGCACACAGCAGGACAGATAAGGTGAAGAAAGCGCTATACCTGTTTTCTTGTGAGCATGCATTGCATCCCTCCAGGTAGGCTGTGGATGAAACAGGTGCTTAGGAGTCTACATTTTACCCTTTCCTGGCAACTCAACTCACCAGGTTTATCCTGGAATCATCTCTCTTCCCCCAAAGGGGGAAAATATTCTTTACCAGATTCTAAATTCAATCTATGAGGTTAGCTTCAAGTCATGACATGGCACTATTTATAACGTTTCATGATATTTAAAGGAACTGATTATTCAATTTGCTATGCTGTTTTATAACAAGCTGTTTATCCTGGAGCTTTTCTTAGGATTGTAAATTACAATACCATGTTAGATCTGTTTCTAAACATAAGAAAGACCACCATGTTTACAAGATTTTGTTAGAAAAAGATTCTATATTTAGAGTCCATACACCTTCCTTTCAGTTCCAGAAATTGTAGGTTTAGCCCAAGTGATTTTTCCAATCACCACGTCAGGCTTAATTAGACTAGTTATTTCTGGAGAATGAATATCATTTACAGGAAAGAACAAAGCAGGCAGAGACTTGCTGACTGGAGAGGATGGTGTGAGGCTGACAAATGCCAACAGAAAACAGCTGCATCTGCTGCCACCGGGAAGAGTGGCTCCTACTGTGGGAAGAGTGGAAGATATATCTGTAAGCAGAACTGACCCATCTTGATTTTACCAATCCTGTATCTAGACTTCCTTCCCACTGCAATGGATCCCGCTGTAGTATGAATTTTGTCAGGAGACAAATGTGGACTACTCCTATGGAGGCTAGAAGGTCATTTTCTTAACCCCCAGCAGGTGAACCTCAGGCCTGGAGTGACCAGTTTTGGACTTGAATCTCTCTCCTGCCTTGACTCTCTAGTAGTAGGGACAGTTTAACTGTATTCATGCTGGAGGCACTGGTTATGGTGGCTGCAAATGGAAAATCACCCTTGAATTGCCCTTGTTTGATCAGAGGGAAAGAGGCTAGCTGCCTTTAAGGAATCGGTGAACTTGGGACTACAGTGATGGCTCTGTGGATAAGATTGCTTACAGCTGTTGCACAGGACTGGCATTCAGTTCTTAGCACCCATGTTGGGCAGCACACAACCACCCGTAACTCTTGCTTCAGGGGATGTAACACCTTTTGGCCTCCATGGACACCTGCACATAGCAACACAGACACACGCACATGCACACTTTTTTTTTAAATAAAAATAAATCTTTTAGCTGGGCTTGGTGGTGCACGCCTTTGATCCCAGCACTCGGGAGGCAGAGGCAGGAGGATCTCTGTGAGTTCAAGGCCGGTCTGGTCTACATAGTGAGTTCCAGGACAGCTGGGGCTACAGGGAGACCCTGTCTCAAAAAAGACTAAATAAATAAATAAATAAATAAAATCTTTAAAGAAATCCCTGTGCTGACTTTTGCAGAAGAGGTTGGTTGAGGAAGGGGTGGAGTGTTAACTGGAAGTGTCCTCAGACCACTATGCCGGCAAGCTATAGTCACACCTCCTTCCCATGCTCACCAAGGAGTTGAGGGGGAGTCAGTTACCCCTCCCACCCAATTGGTCTACCTTAGCTGTGTGTGTGGGAGGGGCTAAGGATATATAATCCAAGAAAATCATGAGGCACCTCTCTCACCATTTTGTGGGGCTGTCAGGAGGTCACAGGGATCTGTATTTGAGTGTGGACTTTATAGCACAGCCATAATGGGGGACACTCACTCTTCTGTAAATAACCCCCACCCTATGCTCTGTTAGCAAGCCCAAATAAACTAGTTAGGATTTAAAAAAAAACAAACAAAAAAAAAAAACCAGTGCTAATGGAAACCTTCATTCCACCAAAACTGACCTCATGTTGGGAAATCCTTCGGTCTTTGATTTTTTTTTTTTTGCTTTTCTCCGTGACCCCAGCTGGCCTGGAGCTCACTGTGTGGACTGGGCTGGCCTCAAACTCACAGAGATCTGTCAGGCTTTGCCTCCCAAGTGCTGGGATTGAGGATGTATGCCACCATGCCCAGCTTTAGTCTTTGATTTCTTATCCCTACTTTTCCACCCTTAAACTTTATTGTATATATTTTTTGATGTAACCGGCTTCAATTGTTTCTGGAAAAATGTGTTAAAAAATGCTTCTCTTTGTAATAATAAAAATATTCTTAAACAAAACAAAAGGAAAAACGAATAGTATGAATCACATCTGAAAAAAGTTTTCTGCCGGGTGTGATGGTACATGCCTTCAATCCTAGCACTCGGGAGGCAGAGGCAGGCGGATCTCTGTGAGTTCGAGGTTCGAGGCCAGCCTTGTCTCCAGTAGCAAATCCAGGCCAGTTGTGGCACAGAGAGACCTTGTCTCAAAAAGACCAAAAAAAAAAAGAAAGAAAAAAAAGGTTTCTGTATCCATTAGTTAGGCTATGCATCATATAATGTAGGAACCTAAATAGCAACAGCTTAAACAGGATGGAGGATAATTTCTCACTTATACAAAGTAGGAATCTGAAAATATGCAGCTCAAGGCTCTATGGAGGCAGTGACATAAACTGATCAGAGATCCAGGCTTGTGCCTGCACAACTTGCCTGCATACTACATAACTTCTATCTATAAGTGTGGCCCAGGTGGCTGCTGGAGATCTAGACATCATGTTATCATCCCAGGCAGCAGCAGAAGAGAAAAAGAAATCAGTCCTCTTAAGCACCTGTCCCAGAGTTCCTAGTCCCAAAACTTAGTCTCAATTTCCTGTGGCCAAAACTTAGTCTCACGATTATGTCCAATGTAAATTATATTAGGAAATACAGTCTTTTAGGTGGGTGCACTACTGCCTTGAATAGAACTGAGATAGTATTACTAAGGCAAAAAGAAGGCATGGTTACGGCAGAGGGAAGGGTGGAGGTGGGCAACTCTAGTCTTTACCAAAGCACCTTAAGCTTCTGTAAAAACACACATACATATCTAGATTCAATGACGAGAGAAAATATGGCATATTTGTCCATTTTGTTTTGTTTAGCATGATGATCTCCAGTTCCATTTTTTCCCCCTGCAAATGACATAGTTTCATTCCTCTTTGCTCCTGAGTTAAGCTCCATTGTATACATCACATTTATATACCATTCCATCTGTGAATGAGCATCTAGGCAGGTTCCATATTTGACTATTGTGAACAGTAAACATGGATGTTTAAGTTAAAAAAAAAAAAAAGAAATCCCTGAGCCATCTTGGATACCCACTTGTGGGACGCTGAAGTTTAAACTCTGCTGCTCTCTGATAACCCTCCAACCTACATAATGTTGGCTATTTCAGAAGGGATTCATTAGGATAAATGGAAGAGAGACTGATCCCCAATCCCTCCCCCACATCCTGTCACCTGCTGGGCCTCATCTCCCTAGGCTTCCTCCTACCACCCCCTCCCTCTTCTTCCTATGCGTCCTTCACATTCCCATCCCACAAGCTTGCCACTTGCTATTTCTTCTTCTGCAATGGTCTTCCCTCAGTATATTCCCAAGGCGGCTTTCCACATCTTTCTAAATCACAGCTCAGAACCACCTTGCTCAAACAGCCCTTCCTGTTTCCCTTGCTAAAATGTAATGACCACCAGGCAGTGGTTGTGATATACAATAGAAATCCCAGCATTTAGGAGGTAGAGACAGTAGGATCATTTCAATCCAGTCTGGGCTATGTAGCAAGATCCTGTTTCAGGGTGAATGAGTGAATGAACAAGTGAATGAATGAATAAAGCATGCTGGCAGCCAGTGCACCCACCTACTGCACCAACCTCCCTCTGCGCGCTGTTATTTTTCTCCCTAGCATGAACCCTGCCTGGTACTAGTTTTCTGTTTAACTGTCTGCCTCCCTCTGAATGAACATTCTCAGCTGTTCCATAACTTTGCTGGTTTCCTAATCTGCAGTCCCATTTCCTTTCACTGCCAGACATTTTTCATTTTGCTACCCCAGAGCAGCAAATATTAGCTTCACTTTTTCCATCACGTTGGTCCTTATTTTTGTCAACAAAGACAGATCCTTGTTTTCTGCAACTCATCGCCAAATGGTGAGGTCTCATGCTCTTTCCTTTTATCCAGCCAACTCCTGAAAATGACCGTGGCATTCAGAACATTGGTCATTTGACAGCTGCTGCTTCAGGAAATGATAAGGCCTGCTGGCAGGAAAGGAAGGCATTATTTATTTTCCTGTCCTATTTTTGTGCCCAGCACACTGTCTTGCATAAAATGGGTACCTAAAATATCCTTGTGAAATGCTTGAGTTTCCTTAAACTTCAACTAGACATCATTTTATTTTTTAGGAGCTGGGAAAAGCATTGGAAAGATCTTAAACTGTTAATTTTCCAAAACTAAGATTTTTCTTTGCTTGTTTCTTGAGACAGGATCTTATGTAGCCAAGCTGGCCTTGAACTTCTGATCTTCCTGTCGTGTGGAGGATGATGTTGAACTTCTGTTATTTATTTATTTATTTATTTATTTATTTTTTCTTGTCTTTTTGAGACAGCTGTAGTCCCAGCTGACCTGAACTCACTATGTAGACCAGGCTGGCCTTGAATTCACAAAGATCGCCTGCCTCTGCCTCCCCAGTGCTGGGACTAAAGGCATGTGCCACCATGCCTGGCCTGTCTCTACCTCTTAAGTGCTGGGATTTCAGGCATGTGCCATCATGCTTGATTTACATGATGCTGGAGATTGAGCCTAGGGCCTCTTGCATGCTAGACAAGTACACTCCCAACTGAGTCATGGTCATTCTGGTTATTATTATTACTATTTTGAGACAGGATCTCACTATGTAGCCCTGGCTGGTCTAGAACTTGCTAATGTAGACCAGGTTGGCCTCAAACTGAGAGATCTGCTTGCCTCTGTCTCCTGAGTGCTGGTGTTAAAGTTGTGCACCACCACACCCAACTCATTCCTATTTTGTTTTCAAAGATTTGTTCTATTTTTTTTAAATCACATGGTCGGGGGGATGTGATATGTATTGTGCACATTAGTGCGGGTGCTGCTTGTGGAGTCCAGAAGAGGGCATCAGATCCCCTGGAGCTACAGTTACAGGTAGTTGGAAACTGTCATGTGGGTACTGGAAACAGAACTCCAGTCCTCTGTAAGAGCAGTATGCCCTCTTAACTTTTGAGCCATTACTCCAGCCCCTCATTCTGATTTTTGATGCATATATATCAGCAATCGTTTTGTGAATAAATCCAGAGCTCAGAGATATTTCTGCGTAACTATTCATAAATATTCAAATTTTTTCAATTCCTTTGCATTTGTGGAGAGAAGCAGTATTAGATATTGAATCTAGGGCATCATGCATGGGAGACAAGTGCTCTGCCACAGAGCTGTAGCCCCAGCCCTCCACATACTGTTTTTTAAACTAGGAAGATGGTTAAGTAAAAGGAGAATTAGCATTGAACATTAATTGTAACACAACGTGACTGAAGAGTCCATATGATGTTTCTGTGTCCTAAGCTCTAAGAATACTATAAAATACCCATGAGAGGCAGGCTGATTTTATGATTTTTGCAAATAGCAAAATTGAACTAGCCTCCTATGGGCCTAGTGGCACAGGTCTGTGATCGTAGCTATTTGGGAAAATGAGGAAGGTGGGTTGTAAGTTCAAAGACTGCTTAAGCTACACAGTGGGTTCAAGGCCAGTAAGACCCTTTCTTAATATAAAAAGTAAAAGGCCAAATATAAAGCTCCCTAGTAGAGCTCTTGCCTAGTGGGTATGCAAAGTTACCAGGCCGGACAGAGAATGACTATTCCCATGGCCTATCTTACCCAGGAGGGAGCCCAGGAGGGCTTCCTGGAAGAGCCAACAGTTACTTAAGGAAGAACCAACATTTACTGAAAGAATAAGTAGGAGTTAGGTCAGTGAGATGCCTCATCAGGTTAAGCACTTTCCACTCAAGCCTGATGATGTGAGTTTGATCCCTGGAACCCACATAAAAGTGGAAAGTATTTTTAGCTACTTTTTTGTTGTTGTGATAAAATATTGTGACCAAAGGCAACTTAAGAAGAGTTTACTTTGGCTTATAGTCTCAGAGGTCTATAATGGTGGGTAAGACATGGCAACAGGAACTGGAAGATGAATGATAACATCTCAACTGCACACAGAAAGCATAGGGGGTGAGCAGGAAGTGGGGCAAGACTATAAACCCTCAAAGCCCAGCCCCAGTGATATACTCCCTCCAGCAAGGCTCCACCTCATAAAAGTTTCATAACCTCCCTAAATAGCACCACCAACTGGGAACCACGTGTTCAAAGACATGAGCCTATGGAAGATATTTATCATTCATACTACAACAGGAGAGAACAGACTCCAGGAACATTGCCAAGTGGCGGTCGCCACATGCATGCTGTGGCACATGTGCATCCTTCACACACACACATTATGTCCTCATATAGGCATAAACACAATAATTTTAAAAAGTTTTTTTTTTTGGTCTTCTTGAGACAGGGTCTCCCTGTAGCCCCAGCTGTCCTGGAACTCACTATATGGACCAGGCTGGCCCTGAACTCACAGAGCTCTGCCTGCCTCTGCCTCCCAAGTGCTGGGATTAAAGGCATGTGCCACTACGCCCAGTTTAAAAAAAGTTTTTTTTAAAAAAGGTAGGAGTTGGAGAGATGGCTCAGCAGTTAAGAGCACTGGCTACTCTTGCAGAGGACCTGAGTTCAAGTCCCAGCACCCACATGGCAGCTAACAACCATTAGTAACTCCAGTTCCAGGGGATCTGACACCCTCTTCTGACCTCTTCGGGCATTGAATGACATGGGTGCCCTTATACACATGCAGGCAATATACTCATACACATAAAGTAAAAAGATAAAAAAAAATTTTTTTAGATAAAATATTTTTAAAAAATAGGTAGAAGGGGCTGGAGAGATGCCTCAGCAGTTAAGAATACTGGTTGTTCTTGCAGAAGACCTAGATTCGAATCCCAGCATCCACATGGCAGCTAACAACTGTCCATAACTCCAGTCCCAGGGGATCTGACAGCCTCTTCTGTCCTACATGGGCATTGCACAACACGGGTGCACTTTCCTACATGCAGGCATAACACTCATACACATAAGGACACTCTAGACGGAGCCCGGAGAGAGCAAAGGAATCAAATGAGGGACAATGAGAGAGTGTGTGCTTGTGCACGTGCACATGTGCGTGCGAGTGTGTGTGCGTGCGTGCGTGCGTGTGTGTGTGTTTGTACATACATGCATGCTTGCAAGGAAAGACCAGCAATCTGGAATGCTAGAAGATACTCTGAACAGGGAGCAGGAAGTACAACTGAGTCATGGCCACCCACAATCACAAATGTGTTTGGGCAGCATAAACAAGGTGTGCAGACATTGCATCACCCTTTAAGTGGAGATACAGAGGCTACTATTTAAAGACACACATATTTTGTTTTCTTAAAGCAGAAGCGCACTACTACTAGCCAACATTTCCTTCCTAAGATATGTGTTCTAAACCCACACATGTGTATGTGTGTGCATCTGCTAACACAAGAACTCCTTCCTGAGGGCAGCTGAGTCACTCCCCTGCTGACACTGCTTTCAAAGTCCAGTAAATCCATTAACAATTGTATAACCTTTCTCTCTCAATGATCACAAAGAAAGCCCATTTTGTTTACCATTCAGCCAAACATTTTCGAGGTTGGATTTATCATCATTCTTGGGTAAAACCCAAATACTGCTGCTTCACAACATCAGTATGTTTTTTTTTTTTTTTTTAAACCCAGAGAGATACACCAGAGCATTTATCCAGAAAGAACCTGAGCCTTATTCATGTTAGCTGGACATGCTAATCTGCATAACTAAAGGAAGCCAGGTGGTGGACGGGCGCCACATCCACAGAGCTGCTTCTCTCAACAATAACAAGTTGTATATAAATTGGTTTCCATGGTTTATCTGTCCGCTTTGCAGGTGGCTGAGGAGATGCGGTTTGTCTCTCTGCTTGTTAAGGAGTGAGAGATGTCACATTTACCCCCATCATGTTATAGACAAGTGTTTCATAAATATAAGGCTCTTTGTCTAAGAAGGGAGGTTGATCTGACAGGTTGAGAAATGATGGCCTTCACTTTGCTAGCTTGCCTGCTCTTCCAGCTACCTTTTGTTTCTCCTGCAAGAAACATTTCTCTCAAGTGCATGCAAGATACTGACGAATTCCTTTCTGATCTGAATTCACTGAAGCCCAAAGAATACGCTCTGAGAAGTAAGTAGGTGTCCCTGGCCCACTGGGTAGAGGAGCACAGAACAGTCTGAGATTTTTGCTAGACGCATGCTAGACTAACGCATGAGAATGAGTTAGCTTACAGATTGTTTCAGACATCCAAGAGGGAGAATTTTCACTGCAAGAATGCTGTACAGACTAGCCAGATGACTCTCATAAGAACCAACATGGTAATGAGAGAATTGTTTACAAATCCTGTGCTGTTTGTTGTTGTTGAAGTTGGCCTATTCTGCTTTGCATGACATGCCTTGGCTTACTTCTCTTTTGAAATATTTAGTCTGCCTTTGATAACAAGTGCTTTGTTATTCAGGGCATCATCTCACCTATTATATACTTGATAGTAGATACCAAGGCATGGGCTGGAAAATGTACAGGCTCAGGCTAGCGAGGCCATAGGCAAACCTCTTTGTATGCACTCTGTCTGGACTCCAGACAGCTGTAAATTTTTTTTGTATGTTCCCCAAAATTATTCTCACAGCTAAAGGGACACATACCTTTCTGCCAGAACAGGGCCCAAAATCAGATTTGTTTTCAATGCAGTAACCTTTCCTTCGGAAGTGTGATTCATTGTTGTTGCTGATGGAAACCACGAAAAATGTAAAAACTCTTTCCAAAGCCAGATAAGCTAACATAGCTATTTCCATTTCCATTTAGAATGCATGACGACTTCATTCTGAATCAAAAACCACTTAGTGTCATAATATATAATAAAGATAGACTGTCTAGGCAATTCAAAATACCATGACACATCTGAAGGGATGTTCATAGTACACAGGATAGATGTCCTGGTATTTAATGAAACGTAGAAAAAGTATAAACCCAGTTAATTCAGTAGCCATTTTCTTTAAGTCCTGTTTTGGAACTGATTGTGTGTTGCAACAACACTTGGTGGTACTAATAGAGAACATTATAAAAGAACTGTGCCAAATAAGCTGCCCAAGAGACTCCAGAAGGTGTGATGGCTGACGTGGATTTCTGGTGGTGAGGTGACAGCACATATTGTCATCATTAGTCACAGCCATGGGAACGCTGTTTGCCTTACAAGTCAAGTCTATTCATGTGCTATCCAGGTCCCATCCGCAAGAGCCTGAAAACTTGAAATCTTTCCTTTTTAGTAAACTGAGGCAGTTTAGTATGGAAAGTGCTTGCCATGTAAGCAGAAGAACTTAGCTAAATTCGATGGCTAGCATCCTCATAAAAATGTTGCGTGTGGAGGTCAGTACTTACAATTCTAGTACTGGAGAGGCAGAGACAAGTGGATGCCTGGGGCTCCCTGGGCTGCCAGTCTAGACTAATCAGGGAGCCCCAGGCCAAAGAGAGACTCTGTCCCCCAAAACAAGATGGATGGCTCCTGAGGGGCAATACTGAGGTTGATGTCTAGCCTCCATATACATGCACACACGTGCACCTGCACACACATGTATCTGCACACACATGAACATCACACACACACACCTCTCCAAAGTAAAAGGTTCAAGAAAGAATCAAATAATTTATGTAAATGGATAAATGACTCAATTTATTGTAATGGATAAATATGCCTGCCCCTGCCTGTAGTTACTGTGATTTTCATTCTAAAGTATCAGAAAAGATTTGGCATGGTTGTTTAGATATTTGTTTGAGGTTTTTGGGCACAGAAATGTGTTTCTGACCTTGGTTCTCAGCAGGATTTTCCTAATTGACGTGTGATTGGAAAAACAAGAAGAATGAATAGTGTTTTGATACAAGTAGTGGACATCCTTTACGGCCTTGTATAGGAGCTGTCCCTTTGGGTCCCTTTAGGAGAAAGTTATTACCATCTTCAGGAGAGGGGAAAGTTATTACCATCTATTTTGTGAAGAGGAAATGGGTTTGCATGAAATAAGTTGTAGAGGTAGGACTTGAACCCATGTCACCTGATTCCAAAGCCCTTCCCCTATCTCCTTCTGCCTGCCTTGGTTTGGTACTGAGGATCAAACCTAGGGCCTCATGTATGCTAGGCAAGCCCTCTACCACTGAGCTACAAGCCCCAGCCTTCTTTTTACTTTTATCTTGAGACAGGGTCTCACCAAGTTGCCCACTCTGGCTTTGCACTCACTCTAACTCAGGAAGGCTTTGAACTTGGATCTCCTTGCTTTAGTAGCCTTCAGAGCAGCTGAGATTACAGGTGTGTGTTGCTAAGTCTAGCATCAAACCTTTGCTTTTGATCATTGCCTAAAACAACCCACCACAAAAGAAACAAACAACAACAACAAACAAACAAAAAAAAAAAATCAAGAGAAAATCCAGATGTAAAAAGAAAGGAGATACAGTATGCCTATCAATATGGGGCAATCCAGACAAACGACATCAAGGAGGAAAAAAAGTATCCTACAGTGCCTAAATTTAAACCAATTAAGCAAATCAAGGCTCTCTTGCTACTAACTGAGTTTAACACAAGCATTAAGAAATGCTTGAGAATGACGGCTTTCAAATGCAATCCAAGGGGAGCAGGAGGATGGGGTGCAACTGGAGAAACATTTCAAATGATTGGTTGCATTTATCTGTTTTAAGTGGAATGATGGGGACAGTGTTTTGGTTCTTCTTTGTGACTTTTTTGCATAATTACATTTTAAAATATCTTCTCTAATCCAAAGCACAGAGACAATAATGAGTGTGGGTTGTGTGGGACTACATAACATGCTGGAGCCTGAGAACAGTGTGAAAAGAAGGCCCTTGAGACCTACGCAGAGATGATTGGCCTTGCAGAAGGGAAATGGAAACATGGCTGTTCTAGAAAGGAGAGCTGGTGATTTAGACTTCTCTGAGTGGGAATGATAGGTTAAAGTGTATACATATTATAGGAAAGAAATCTAGACTGTAACTCCAAATGGGTACCCCTTGTCCCTTCCAATGTTCTCTTCCGTGTTCTATCTAGTAGACACAGGACTACCAGCTTAATGGGAATAAAACCCACCAAAAATTCCTGTGTGCTTAGATTTTGGCAGCCTTTTGGGACTTGGGAATCTTATTTAATACAGTTTCACTCCCTCAGGGGAGTGCTCTGGTTTTTCTGGATATTTTTTCTTTCTCTTTTTTGAGACAGGGTCTTATTATAGAGTCCGGGCTGACCTTGAACCCATGATTCTCTTACCTCAGGTGCTAGGATTACCCTATGGTTTCATTGTTTTAAACTCCACAACCCACAGAAACCCAAATTCACTCTCTGTTTTCTTTGTCTTCACACTGTGGTGCCAGCAACTCCCTCCTCCACATTTTTCTCTGCACTTTGGGGACTGGGTCCTGTCTACAACGCTGGATGCCCCACATGATGATCCCTCTTCTTTCTCCTTTTCTTTCTCTATCTCTATCTCTTTCTCTTTCTTTCTCTGACTTCCAGAAGCTTCCTCTAGGCACTTTGTTCCTTTCCTCTTTGTTCTTTAATTGCAAACTACTCGAGGCTTAGAAAGTTGAGTCACAGAAATTATGTTAGTCTGGCAGTCCTGAGGCATAGCTCATAGCCATGAGCTTCCCAAGGCCTTGGATGAGTTTTCTTACTTGTGAAAGGTCAGGCTGTATTTCTGATAGCCTGAAAATCTAAGGCAACTTAAAAATTCTTATTCCTAGGCCCAGTCTGTTGCTGGCTTGTGAGAGCCAATTGTTAAGTGACAATTTAAAGGTTAAACTGTACAAATTTACAGTAAGTCAACAAAAGTTTTACATGCCCACCATTTCCTGGTTACAGTACTACATTTTACTATTATCTGTATTCTGGGGACTGAACTCAGAGCCTTGTACATGCTAGGCAAGCTGTACCACTGGGCTAAACACCCAGCCTACTCTTATCTATGCTCTGGAAGCTATTTGTATCTACTATGTTAGTATAGGGGCAATTACAGCTCTGCTACTGCATCTGGCCTTGTGTCTCCACAGTCAGGCACATCATATTGGGAGGGTGAGTCACCATATGTAGGAGTTTGCTCAGCACGGAATTTAGCAGTTGCAACAAGTCGGGCCTGATTTACTGTTTTGTTGATTGTCCAGGCTGAAGGAATTGTTAAGAATACAAATTAAACTTAAAGATATGTAATATTTAGAGCGAGCACATTATCAATACCATGAAAAAAATGAGGAAATAAGATTTAGTACTCAAGCTGTTACTGGCATACAAGCTGCTCGTGTCAGACAAATTCATGCAGTTTTGACACAATCTTGCTTCAAATTCATATTACTCATTAAGGCGAATAAAATACCAACCAACATTCATGCTGGGATTATACTTGTTGGTAAACAGAAACCATAGATTAGGTTTGGGTACAAGAGATTAAAACAATGAGCCAGGTGTGGCAGCACACGCCTTTACTCCCAGCACTCAGGAAGCAAAGGCTGGCAGATGTCTGTGAGTTCCAGGCCAGCTGGGGGCAATAGGAAGACCCTGTCTCAAAACAAAAACAAAAATAAAACACAATCACTGAAAGTCTGTGAGAATCAGTTAACTGTATGTAGAATTTGTACAAAGTATTACAGATTTCAGTTTATTATCTGTAACTTGTAGGCATCATAGTTTGAACTGTGTTTTCCCAAATTCATATGTTGAAGTTCTAACCTGATTATCTCAGCATATGACTGTGTTTGGAGATGGAGCCTTTAAAGACACAATTAAGCTAACATGAAGTTAATAGAGAGGCCCCAAGGCCAATGCCAGGTGTCTTTGTAAAGAGATTAGGATACAGGCATGCTTGGTAGAAAGACCATGTGAGGACTCACAAGATGGCAGCCATCTGGAACTCAAGAAATGTGGCCTCAACAAAACCTGCTCTGCCCACATCGCCATCACACACATTGCCATCACCCACATAACAGTCTATAGAACTGTGAGAAAATGAACACCTGCTAGATAAGCCACCAGCACTTTATTTGGTGGTCCTTGAAGACTAATGGTGTGCCACATATCTTTTATATCAGTACAATTGATAATATGCTTGCCTGGAAGAAAATGATGTGGCTTGAACTTTGTCTCCTCA